ACTGAAACAATACCTGTAATGATAGAATCTGAAGCAATAACATCTGTCCTGCCTGGAATAGCATAGAAACGAGCCTGGCCACCGCTTGATCGACCTCCCCCTCTGAGGCGACCCCTGGCTGCCTGACCTCCACCCCTAGCTGGTTGGGCGGGTGGTGAAGTAACTACTTGCTCAGGTATGCGAGCAGCAAGGGTTTGATTGCCTCCCCCGGCCTGTGAAGTATTTACTGCGATTGTGGCTGAAACTGCCTGAGCCAGGCCAGTGCAAACTGATAAGATCTGTGCCAAGGCCTCCTGAAGACCCGGAATCACGATGGGCACAACTGGTGCCTGAACTGGTGCTGCGGGAGCCTGATCCGGAGCTGGGGCAGCTGGTGGATCAATAGGTGCTGCCCTCACTACTCTGCATCTGCCACATCCACGACCACGTCCACGACCTCTGATGGCCTCAGTGGGTGGCACTGGTGGTCGTCCGCCTCGTCCGGTAGCTCGCGTCCTCAACATCTGTGAGAGAATATAATAACAAAAGTTTAGTTCTCGGATCAACAAGGTCGCATGACAAGAGTTTCAAGAATATGAAGTTTTTCCTAAAGGTTCTGTAGCCTCTCGAGGATAAATACAGACGTCTCCGTACCGATCCGCAAGACTCTACTAAACTGTCTCATGACTTGCGAGACCTATGTAACCTAGGCTCTAATACCAACTTATCACGGCCCCAACCTCTGTCGTGATGGCGCCCAACACACTGCTAGGCAAACTTGACCAATTAACAACCTCAACCCATTTATTATATAGTTCATTATCAGCAAACACAGTTAAATTACCAAAACACCATATTAAAAGTCTGAAACCAGAGTTAAATATGCGGAATTTCAAATGATAATACTACTACTACATAGCCCATATAGACCCGGTGTCACAAGTCTGAGCCTCTAATACCAGTTTATCACCCTAATACATATCAATCTAGGGGATTCGAAGAAAAAAAGTATAGAAAGGAAAGATCAGGGTTGCGGACGCCATGCAGCTACCTCGATGCTCTCGGATATGCGCGCTCAACTAAAAATCCTCACTCAGCCTCAGATGCACCTGGATCTGCACGCAAGGTGCAAGGAGTAATGTGAGTACTCCGACCCAGTGAGTAATAAGCAAATAATGATTGAGAATAAGAAATCATGGAGAAACACAGAGTAATCTATAATGCAACATTTTAAACAAGTAATATGAAAGCAATAAACCAATGGAAAAGAAATATGGAAATGCTACAACAAATAAGCAGTTAAGTGACAGACATATAAAGAAAATCAACACATAGAACGGTACCCTATAATACCCACTGCGGCGTGCAGCCCGATCCATACATTTATCGTCAACAACGCTCAATGGGGGTGTGCAGACTACGGGAGGGGCCCCTTACGATCCAAGCGCAATATCAAGCCATCTCATGGCATCAAATCTAGGCCCTCAGCCTCATATCAATATCTGTATAACACTGTTACGACGCGCAACCCGATCCCATAGTATCCTCACATCTGGCCCTTGGTCGTACTCAATCCAGAAATCATATAAGCCCCTCGGCCATTAGTAAAACAGTAGTTCTCAGCCCAAAACATCATTTAATATATCATTTTAGTTTCAAAACTGAGTAAAAAGTGGCTGAGTTATAAAATAGTGGAAAACAGTACGACTGAGTTCAAGTAGTAAGTCAAAACAGTGAGGAAATAGTGATAAAATTCCCCTGAGGGTTCAAATAGTTGGCACGAAGCCCAAGTATGGCAATCAGTCCAAACAATGATGATAACAAATAAGCTTCAATCAAAATGCGCGGTAAAAGCGTCACTCGGGACGGACCAAGTCACAATCCCCAATAGTACACGACCCCACGCTCATTATCAAGCGCGTGTCGCACCTCAATATAGTACTACGATGTGCAAATCCGGGGTTTCAAACCCTCAGGACATCATTTACATTCATTACTCACCTCGAACCGGCTAAAGCTCTAGCTCTATGCCTTTGCCTCTCAAATCGGCCTCCTCGCATGTCGAATATGACCAAAACCAGAGCGAATACGTCACAATATGCTAAGGGGACAAAGCCCAAGCGAAAACAATCAAAAAATATAAAAAATCCCCAAATTAGCAAAACCCGAGCCCCGAGCCCACTTCTCGAAACTCAGAAATTTTTACATCAATGGGTTCCTTATCTCGCCACGAGTTCATACATATCAAAAGTTCTCAAATCCGACCTCAAATGGCCCTTCAAATCCCAATTTAAAATCTCAAAATCTCAAGCCCTAGTTCTTCCATTTTTAGCGAAATTTCCATGAATTTCTAGGTTAATTTCATAATATAATCACGTTTTTGGTTCATAGAACTTACCTCCAATCAATTATCCTTGAATCCCTCTTCAATTACCCTCAAAGAGCTCTCAAAATACTCAAATATGGTGGAAAAAGGACTAAAACTCGCGGAGGAAATGTTTAAAAACTTCACTGTTCAGTTGTGGAAATCCCTCCTTCGCGAACGCGGTCAAACCCACGCGTTCGCGATGCACAATTTTCCTTGACCCACAAATAACCCTTCGCGAACGCGGCACCACACCTGCAAATGCGTTGCTTTGGACCTTTGAACCTACGCGAACGCGGTACCACTTACGCGAACACGAAGAGCAATAGCTCCTGGACCTTCACGCGCCCATCTCCACTATGCGAAAGTGACACCCATCACGCGGACGCGAAACATAACCTCAAGGCCCCTCCGCGAACGCGAGCCATCAGACGCCAACGCGAAGCACAAACTCAGGGCCACCCAACTTCCTTCTACGCGATCGCGAGGGACCTCACGCGATCGCGAAGGCCAAAAAATCCCCTGTAACTTCTGTTGCATTTTCTGCAATCTCCAAAAGCTCAAAACTTCCCGTTAGCCATCCGAAACCGCCCCGAGACCCACCCGGGACCTCAACCAAAAGTACCAACACATCCTAAAACCTCATTCAAACTTGTTCCAATCATCAAAATACCTCAAACAATATCAAATCCATCAATTCACATCAAATTCAAGCCTAGCTTTTCTAAAAACTTCCGAAACACGCTTTTGAAAAAAAAAAAACCCAACCAAACCGCGTCCGAATGACCTGAAATTTTGCACACACATCACAAATGACATAACGAAGCTATAGCAACTCTCGGAATTCAATTCAGAACCCCGGATCAAAATCTCACCTATCAACCGGAAATCGCCAAAATACTAACTTCGCCAATTCAAGCCTAATTCTACACCGGACCTCCAAAACCACTTTCGATCACACTCCTAAGTCACAATTCACCTCCTGAAGCTAACCGAACCATCGGAACTCACATCCGAGACCTCTAACTCATAAGTCAATATCCGATTGACTTTTCCAATTTAAGCCTTCTTAAAAGAGACTAAGTGTCTCATTTCTTACCAAAATCACACCAAACGCAAACCAATCAACTCGACCACATAAAATACGGATAACGAAGCATAAAGAAGCAGAAATGGAGAAAACAGAGCGATAATTCATGCGACGACTGGCTGGGTCGTCACAAAGACTTTATATAATTATTATAATATCTTTCAATTTCTCACAAAACAACTTCATCATTGCTGACGAAGTACTATTCTATAAGTTTCCCTTAAAGTCGAATCCCGAAGGGACATTAATAAGGTAGTTTGTCCCTCCTACAACTCTTAAAAAGTGATGTGCCTCTTTGTCCTAAAGTTCACCGTTGAAGTCTTATATCTATTTTTTTAAGAATATTTTATTAGAAGCACTTTTATATATTCTAAAGAATTAGAAGCACTTTTATATATTCTAAGGTTTGTACACTCAAAGTAATGTTTAAAAATAAATATATATCAAAACTTTAAAATAAATCTAACAATTATAAGATGAAAGGTAGTTGGTCAAAACGAAAAACAATGAATTACTTGTGCCATAGTGCTTGGTATGATACAAAATTGCACAAAAGCTCACTTGAAAAAAAAAAAAACAATATTTAAATTAGTTGTGTTCCCATCCATGCAGACTTACTTCAAAGCATTGAACCTTATTGCATCAGCTCATAATAGGATAGGAACATGTAATTTAAATTTCTTCATGATCATATTCTTTCTTTTCGTACGCGTAGAAATCTTTAGCAATATCAAGTATGTTAGAACTTAAAGATACCAAAAAAAAAAACTGAAATAGTACTAAAACTTACACAATAAAGACACAACTCTCAATTAATTTTCATACTATTAGCAATATTACTACTCTTTTCTTGATCCGTCAATGATTTGCGATTATGTTCGTCCTTGCTCCAAACACTCACATAGAAGTAGAACAGAAGAAGCACAACTCTCATCTTTATCACTTGTCGAACTCATAACAGATATTACTTGATGATAGGAATATACACAATTTCTCGTTGTTCTAAAATCTAAATAATTTTAGTTCCAGAATTCGAATTCAAGAAATTCACCAACAAACAAATTAAGTTGGTGAATGTATTAACCAACCAAGAAACTAAACTCTAGTAACCATAAAGAATCAAAAATTAAGATAATAACTGACGTTTCTTAACTCTTGTAATAGGGATATTAAATATCACTCCAACTTTTTACTTATTCTATTACTCTTTTTCCCTTTTGAACCTACTACAGCTTTAATTTCTCCTTGAATTTTGTTAACAATAAGTTTCAACTTATTCTCCTATTATTTCTCTTTTCCTTTTTTTAATCAAACCCTCTTTATTAGGGATATTAATTGAAGAAGAAGTTTCTCCTATTAATTCGTTTTTTTTGGGATATTAATTGAAGAAAAGTTTCTCATTTATTATTCTCTTCTTTTTTTCCTTTTTTGTAATATGGAAATTTATTTATTTATTTTAAATAATCTTTGATTTACAATTTTATCCAACTTCCAATGCACTTATAAAGGTTAAAAAAAGGCTAACAAACATTTCACCAAAGCATAGTATATATATACGGGCAACAACGATCCAAACATAACATAGTGTAAGTAAAATCTAGCCGCCACAATTCCTTTTATCTCTGAAGAACAACGGACAAACCCCATCTCTCACTCTCAGTATTTCACACACCATACTCATAGACTCGCCTCACCATCTGCAGTTTCGTTATTGAGATTTGAAATCGAGGGTAGCTAAGAAACACAAGAGCAGCAGTTGAAAATACTCCAAATGCCTAAAAATGCTAGTTTAGATCTGTAGCTTCAAAGAGCTATTTGGTTTTCTGTTGATTTGTTGGTTAAACTCTCAAATTGCTGCCGAGTGCTGCTGATTCACTTCATTGTTGAGCTCCGAAAGTAAATCCCGATCATTTGTCTGCATCCTAGGTACATATCCCAAACTCTATATGTAAATTCTGGAATTCTAGTAAAATCATCGCTTATCAGCTCCATTTGTTTTCAATCTATAAAATCACTGTTGCTAGTTATAATTGCTAGTCCCTGTTTGATCTAATGAATATGTTACTTGTTACTTTATGATTATGATTTCCATGATATGGTCCTTTGTTCCTTTACTTCAAATCATTTTGGCATTCAAATTACTGAATTAAACACGTTACCTGCCGATTTGGAATCAAATAAATATGTGCCATATATATCTTATGTTGATGCGTTAGTTATGTACATGATTATTTTAATGACTGCATAAAGAGTGACTGGACTTTGAAAGGCAATTGTAAAGTTACAGATCAAGCGAAGGCTAGAAATCTGATGGTCATTACTGTAAAAGATTTGGTGTGAGGTTTATAGTTTGACTTTCTTTCACCTTTTGTTGAACTTAAAAGTATATTAGTTGCTGTTGGATAAAGAATTTGACGTAACAGTTTTGCATGTTTAAATCACATGATATGGGTGTGTAACATTTGTGACTGTGTGAAAACTACTTGTATTTGGTCAAAGTCATGGTTTGGCCCCTGTAAATCCCATTTCCCCTATGGTCTGTTAAGTTTTCTTCCCGAAAGTGCAGTTGATGAATTGATTCACTGCGTGAAATGGAGTCCTTACACTATATTAGCATTTGATTCCTTGAAACAGTAGTGAGGGTGAAGTATGTTAACTCTTGAATGGGGTAATTGCCTAATGATTCAACATGTGAAGGGCAATCCTTTTGTTTTTTTCCAAAATCGGTTCACTTTAATCTCCAGTAATGACTCGATGGTTTATGGCTTTATAAACAATCTCAAACTTAGTGTGATAAATATTTCATGAACCTAATTCCCAATTAGAGTGACTTGGGATTCATAAACTAATCATCGTTACTATGGGTACGGTTCCCGTGGCGTAGTAATGATACATAATCCCCAATTCGAGTGTGCGTTTCACGCTACTCGACCATAACTTCAAATAATAATTAAAATGAACATGTTGTAAATCGCGGGTGCGTTTCACGTGACGTGATTCACAATATGTACAAAAACAAACGAGTGCGCGACATCGCGACTTGTTCAAATAAACTCCATAAATTCTAAAAGCAATTCAAATTCTATTAAAAGCGGTTAGAAAGTTAAAAATGCACAGTAGGTTTTAAATATGTATTAAATCAGATAATTAGGCCGATTATTAATAGTTGAGCGATCGTGCTAAAACCACGGAACACGTGAGTGCCTGACACCTTCTCCTGGGTTAACAGAATTCCTTAACCGGTCTTGTGTGTTTTGCGGACTATAAATAGAGTCAATTTCCTCGATTTGCGATTTTAAAATAAACCGGTGACTTGGGACACCATACTGAATATTCCAAGTGGCTACTCTAAATTAAATAAATAATTCCATTTCGAATATATCACTTTGATTGGAAAAACTTCCAATACCTCGGGAAAAAGGAGGTGTGACACTAGTCATAAGAATATCCCCTTGTACTTCACAATATAAGTGTAATCAAAACTAGCTTTATAAAATGGTAGCAGTCCTAGATATGCATCATTAAGCTTGATATTGACTATTATCAATGATCTAGTCATAAGAATATCCGCTTGTACTTCACAATATAAGTGTAATCGAAACTACTTTATAAGATTATAGCGTTCCTAAATATGCATCATTAAGCTTGATATGTCTATTCTAAATGATAGTCATAAAAATATTCCCTTCTACTTGAATTTCAAAATAAATTTTGTCTATAATGCATTTAGAACAAACACAATTAATGAGAATTTTAATTCTCGGTAAAATAAAAATATAGTTACAAGAGTGCAAGCATAATTTTGGTCACTGCCACATACAACACAATTTACAAGCATTAATCTATCACCTTATGGAAGAAAAGGTAAGATCTAATTGAAAAAAAACTTAGGTCTAACCAAAATAATTCATCTGTGTATTTAAAAAGTATTATTTTATGACGAAACCCAATGTTTTATATTGTTTTGATGTGCGTTAATTTCTTTTTTGAAAAATTATTTTTCTATTTTTGTTAAATAGCAATGTTTTATCTGAAACAGAAAAAATAACTTGTTTTTCAAATATTATTTTTTCTTAACTTCTCCATAAAGCTACAAAAGAAATTATTTTGATAAAGTTTGAAAAAAAAAAACTCTTTTAAGACAACCAAAATAAACAAAGCTAGAAAACCTGAAAAGAATTTACCAAAACAATTTCAACCATTTCTCCAACCAAACCCTTTTTTTGTGTGTTTTGTTGTTTTTTTTCTATTTTTTTTAAAAAGTTTCTTTTTTCTAAAAAAACATTTTTATTACTCTTTTTTGAAAATCAAATCTCTTAATTCCTCGGTCCATCAGTTGCTCGCCCTCTCTGCACCGTCTGCTCCATGTATCTGCTTTTCTACAGAGGTTCTCTTTTTCTCCTCTTCATATTAATTCCTGTCGTACTGTTCTAAAATTTGCTAAAATCTTGTTTGTCAAAGGTGCTAACTTTAGACTCTAAACTTGAGCTTAATCTTTTTTTTTGGGGTTTGGGGAGGGGGAGGGGGGAATTATATACTACCGAGTTTAAACGTGCACCAATGGCCCTCGAGGATTTATGAGTTATAGAAAAAACTGAGCTTATTCTGTTTAGAGTAGTTACAAACTTAAAAAGTTCAAATCTTGAATCGTTCTGAATTAGCTTAAATTTTTAGTTAAGGTGTTGAACAGTTGAACAAATAAAGAAGTGATTGGAATTACTAGCGTGGGCAGCGTTCATTATGATTGCGTGACTGAACTTTGGTTGAAACTAGTATTTGCTTTTGTCATTTGATGGACCGATACAAGAATCTAGCATCGTCTTTTTGCAGTGCAATTTTCGTCTAGGGTTTATNTGGGAAGAAGACACTAGTATAGCAATATTGTAACTGATGTAAATAAGAGAAGAAGCTTCTTGGTTTCAAATGCATGCTGAAGTAACTTGATACATGGTTCTTGCACATGTTTTTCTATATAATTTTTGACAGTATATATTCTAAAGCATGTCTTGTCTTATATTTTCAGATTTAGCATTCTTTTTGTTCCGTCAACATACACTTCAAGTGTCTGGAGCTGTATTACTCTACAAACAAGACTATAGTGAGACTTGACTATGTTTCTGACAAGCAATGTCCACACACGCTCTTCTGCATGTGAGTGCGTTTTCTCTATCCCAAGTGACCTCCCAACGTCTCTTTTCCGTGGAGTATGCTGTAAAGTTGTTGAAAAAGTTAGCTGATGATGGGAACTTCAAGTTGGGAAAAGTTGTTCATGCACTTCTTGTTGTTTCTAGTCATGCCTCAGAAGACCACATAATTCAGAATAATTGTCTCATTAATCTCTACTCGAGGTGTGGACAACTTGCTGTTGCTCGGCGGGTGTTTGACAGATTGAGTCAACGAAATGTAGTTTCTTGGAGCATTTTAATGGCGGGGTATTTGCACAATGGTTATGCTTGGGAAGTAACCAATTTGTTCAAAGACATGATTTCAGTGGATAAAATATTCCCAAATGAGTATGTCTTGTCTACCGTACTTTCGTCTTGTTCCAGCGGTCGTTTGCTACACGAAGGGCAGCAGTGTCATGCGTTAGTGTTAAAATCAGGATTGGTGTTTCACCAGTATGTGAAGAATGCTCTTTTATCCTTGTATACAATGTCTTCAGATATGGAAGGGGTTCTGGAAACCTTGAAGTCTGTTCCTGGATTAGACATGATTACTTATAATTCTGTACTGAAGGGGTTCTTGGATCATGGGTATACAAGTGAAGCATTGGATGTTTTCTCAAGGATGTTGGCTGACGGCTCGGCGGGGGATAGTGTCAGTTACGTGAACATATTTGGTCTTTGTGCTCGCCTCAAGGATTTGAAGTTGGGTAAACAAGTTCACTGCAGAATGCTGAAGTCTGGTCTTCAGCTTGATGTGTTTCTAAGCAGTGCAATCATGGACATGTATGGAAAGTGTGGTGAAATTTCAGGTGCAAGATATATTTTTGATTCGTATCCTAACCATAATGTGGTGTCTTGGACGGCAATCTTGGCTGCAAATTTCCAAAATGAATGCTTTGAGGAAGCCCTGAAACTGTTCTTACGAATGGAATTTCAGGATGTTGTGCCAAATGAATACACATTCGCAGTGTTGTTGAATTCCTGTGCGGGTCTATCAGCACTTGGTTGCGGGAAAACGTTACATGCACGTGTTGAGAAGACAGGACATGGAGCTTTTGTTGTAGTTGGGAATGCTTTGATCAATATGTATTTTAGGAGTGGCCATATCGAAGCAGCTAGGGCCTTGTTTTCAAACATGATATCTCGAGATACTGTTACTTGGAATATGACAATATCAGGTTTCTCTCATCATGGGCTTGGTGAGGAAGCATTGTTTGTGTTTCAGCACATGTTAGCTGCCGAAGAGAAACCAAACTATGTAACCTTTGTGGGGGTTCTTTTGGCTTGTGGACATTTGGGTAGAATAGAAGAAGGATTTTACTACTTGCAGCATCTAATGAGGGACATCGGCCTTGAACCTGGGTTAGAGCACTATACCTGTGTTGTTGGGCTCCTAGGTAAAGCTGGAAAACTTGATGAGGCTGAGAATTTCATGAGGTCGACGCCAATCACATGGGATGTCGTTGCCTGGCGTACGTTGCTTAATGCTTGTAACGTCCACCGCAATTATGATTTAGGAAAGAGAGTAGCAGAGCATTTGTTGCAATTGAATCCCAACGATGTGGGAACCTATATCCTGTTGTCCAATATGCATGCCAAGGTGAAAAGGTGGGATGGAGTAGCAAAGATACGGAAGCTATTAAGAGAAAGGAACATAAAGAAAGAACCTGGGTTGAGCTGGACTGAAATAAGAAATGAAACTCATGTGTTTGTTTCTGATGACACTCAACACCCAGAGACGGCTCAAATTCATGAGAAGGTGAGAAAATTGTTGGCTGATATAAAACCGTTGGGTTATGTTCCAGACACAGCTTCTGTCTTGCATGATGTCGAGCAAGAACAACAAGAAGATTATCTTAGTTACCACAGCGAAAAGCTGGCTGTAGCATATGCTCTCATGAAAACACCATCCCAAGCGCCAATTCATGTTATTAAGAATCTCAGAATATGTGATGATTGCCATTCTGCTTTGAAGCTTATCTCAAAGGTCGCAATGAGAATGATAGTTGTAAGAGATGTCAATCGGTTCCACACCTTTCAAGATGGGTCCTGTTCCTGTGCAAATTACTGGTGAGAAATCACAAGATTGACATATAGTGTCTTACAAGGTGTCAAAAGGAGAATTTTGCATGCTGCTATGTGTGATTGGTAAAGAAGCTCACATAATCGTATTCTCAGCCAACCAGAGGTAGTGAGTTTGAACAAAGCTTTTTTAACCACCTATTCATCATATAATAAGTTTGTTTCTAGTTTCCAAAATACCAGTAATATTTGTAGCATCGAAATATACAAGCTAAAAAGAATTGATTATAAAAGCAGCAAAGTGCATCATCTAGTATGAAATATTAAAATGTGAGCGAAGGATCTGCTATAGCTGACTAGATATATTAATATATATGTGACTACCTTCTGTCCTTGTGTTAGCTGTTCTTCCTATCTCAATGGAGATCAGGAAGTTGCAGATGAAGCTTAATGCTAAAAGTATGAAAAGGGAACAGTCTAGTTTAACAGAATTCTTGAATTCTCCCCACAGATTAACAATCTGCTTCCAGACAGCAACTCCACAAGGGAATCCACCGGTTTAGCATCCCAAAAACCCTCTTTCAAATACTTAGTGATAATAAGTAATAACAGTTTCCATAAAGCAGCTTTCCCATCGTTAAGCCTCCACAACCATTTACATAGCAAGCCTCTGTTATATTCTAGTATCCTCACCCCAAGTCAACCTCCTTTTTTCATATTTTGATTTTTTGCTACCTAAGCAAATGCAATTTTCTAATTTCAGGATTGCCATCCTATAAGAAATTATTTCTAAGACTGTTTATTCTCTTCTCCACCTTCACTGGAATAGGCAAAAGTTACATTAAAAAGGTTGGTATACTTTAGAGTGATGTTCGGAGAAATTGGAGGGCATGGTTATGTATTTTTCTTGAAGGCATCCACTTCTCTTATGTATGCTGTATCTTATGACTGAAGTTTTCTTATTTCTGTCAGTTTTTGGGGTGTAAGCACTTAAAGAACAATTAATGTGTCGCATGCGTGCTCCCTATGTGCACCTCTAGTAAACATGAACGGAAATAAAAATGCGATCATTCAGTCTCTGTTTCTGAGGGAGTATTATAAATTGCGTGAAGGTTGTCGACATTTTCCTTAACTGTCTTCATTTCTATTCTTTTTTTGACGACTAAGCAAAAAACGGCCTTCAGTTCTATTTTTACAAGTTTTCCTGCAGGTTCCTGAACGAGCTGCAGCCGCTGCTGCACTGCACGTGTTCTAGCTGGACTACCACCCCATCAGAGACATGCTCTGTCATCAAGCTCAGAGGAATTGAGCTCTATATATGGGAGCAAACAGCCTGGTCAAGTTGTCGAGGAGCTGGAGGAAGAATTCTATTAAGAGGTTTCACCTTCTGCATTTTAATAAATATTATAGTTGCGTGTCTTTCTGTCCTGTACGTTCTCTAGTGGATCATTGGTATAGTACGGATGATGATCCTAATACAGATTTCATTGATGTGATAATATTTGGCCTTTGCTAATGAGCCTATGAAAGTCGTTGTATACCTCATTTCTTATATATTAGCAAGATCTGCATCAATCTTTGCACGAGTATTATCGGAGTAGTTACCAGGCATATGATCTGTAATTCCCAGACTTCTTCCCCAGGATTTATGTAACAAAGCTCTTTCCATGAACTTTGAACAGGGTTAACACTGTCAGTCTCTATAAGTTGTCATGTTGTTGTTGCTTGTAGTTTGATTGCTATTGGATAATTACCTCTAATTTTCTTCTCATGATGCAAGTTTTTGATTTTTCTTTGCATTCTTAGTCAAAATTCTTCCATCAGCTCAATCCAGACTTCGCTCTTTTGAAAGTATTACCTCCACACTTAACATTTGTTGAGAAACAAGTGTTTATGAATTGTAGACAAGAAATGCCAATCGTGGTGGACTTTCTACTAATTACAGTTTGGTGTGGGTGTAGACTGAAAGGATTGGCCTGCCTGTTAGGCTATTACTTCTGTCAGCAAACAACTCATGTCTTTTATTAGTTCTTTCATCAAGATTATTCTGTTAATGAACCTAGCTTTCATTCGTGTGAAAGCTGCAGCATATGCATGGGTTATTGTCTTTCTACATGGAAAGGATCTTTGAGTACAGCATACATCTTGATTCCTGGCCATGTTATTTACTCGTTATCTTCCTCCATTGCCAATCTGTTGGAGATCTATTTTTTTATTCCCTTAGTTGCTTCAACTTTTATCTTCTTTTCTTCCCCTTAGTTGTCTCTGTACTTGAGCATTTGCAATCCATATCACTCCAATTCTCGTGATGATTCCTGGGATATCTACATGTAGGAATTTGATCCTGTCGGACATATTCTGGAGCATATTCCTTCTGAAGATGGTGAACTAGCTTACTTGGAAGAACAGGTACTTGCAATTCTTTCTTATGGGTGCTGAGGGAGAATTCTTTATTTGATTTGCCATATGCTTGTCATTGTACAAGTTTAATTGTTGTTTGTTATGTTTAACTGTATATCAATTAGCAAGAGAGTATTTTTTTTAAGATAGAAGAATTGTTATCCGCTTTATGGTTTATGAAGAATCTGAAAGTTATTACTTCCGCTGCAAATATGTACCCAATATCTGCATCAGATTACTTTGTTGGCAAAGAAACAGTCACCTTTAATTGTTGGGTGATAAAAAGAAGGCGGTGCTTGATCTATGTTGGGTTCAATAGGCTCATGGCAATACGCACTAGTTTTAGATCCAGTGATCCAGCCAATTATGCCTTGGGTAATGATACATTCAAGTGACAGATCCACAAAATATAGGCATAACCGTCCTCATGCCCCTCAAAGTTCTGGTTCAACGGCGAAGGGGATACATCGTGGGATGGGTGGTAGTCGCACGTCATGAGTTTGAATCCTGGATGGGGACCAAGTCTAGTATTTAAGTGGAGAACGGTAGAGGGGGCCATTATCCCCCGAAATTTGAAGCTGGAAAACGATTTTCTTGGTAAAAAAAAAAGAAAAATCATCGTCATTTGGATGTTAAAATGTCCCATTGAGTTGTTTAGACATTTCCTTTTGCAAGTGGATTGTGGCAGAGATCATTTGGGTTATTTGGCAATTTTGTGGGGATTCCATATTCAGTCAGTTAATGTTTAACGGACAAAATGGTGGCACAATGAATGGTAAACTTCTCTTGCAAGGTGTTTTATTGACTATTCTATGGCGCATTTGGATTTTAGACAGAGTGTAAGCCCAGAACTCTCCCTTTTTTTAAGATAAGGAGTGTAAGCTCAGATTTCTTCTCGAGTGGTCTCTTTCACAGCAAGATGCTTGGGTACAGCAGTCTTCCTCCATTCTTTGTGTGTAAAACAATTTACCACTTGCATAATGTTTCTCTTACAATCTTCCACAAGATTTAGGAAACTTTGTTATTCGACGTAGATTGATCATTGACGACATGTACTCATCTTTTATTCCTTTCATATCAATTTGAGTTGTTTTTTCTTATTAAAGAAAGAAGAATAACGGTCAAAGGGACATGGCTCTAAACTGTCCACTCTCTTGACCAGTGTTTTTGAGAGCGCGAAGCGCAAAAAAGCGACAAGGGCAGCGAAGCGCAAAGCGAAGCGCACGCTTTATTAAAGTGAAGCGCAATTCTTAAAAAACATAATGTAAAATTATAAATAATCAAAAACTTCAATTTAAATACTTAAAAGTAGGTACTAGGTACAACAAACCATCCACAAACCATAGGACAAGCACAATCAAAGCTACTAAATTACTAGAGACATTTAGTAATTTAAGATACATAATTCGAACTTTGAGACATTTTAATATCCCTATTATTTAATATATAAAAAAAACATAATCAATAAACTGAAAATACATATAATAATAATATATATAATAATTAATTATATAAACTGAAAAAAACATTTTAAAAATCACATAAACTAAAAATAATACATATATATAATTAATTTTATATGCTGAAATATAATAACGTAGAAGCAGAAGCAGAAACAGAAGAAGAAGCAGAAGCAGCAGAAGAAGCAGAAACAGACGCAGAAAAAGAAGCAACAGAAGCAGACGCAGAAGGAAAATAAGAAGAAGAAGAAG